AACAATTTTTTTTGCGTTTTCAATTTATGAAAAGGACTAAATTTGCTAAGAAGATAGCAGTCCAAAGAAAGAAATTTGAAGAAAACTGAGGGAATGGAAACACTGAAGGAAAAAAACACTAGAACAAAAGCAAAATTTGGCGCTATATTTAGTGCAGCAGCAGGCCAGGTGCAAATGGAAATTTAATACTTTTTCATGCATGTATTAAAAAGTCTTGAAAACTTGAAGCTAAATAAATTGTTTTCCTAAAAATTACCGTTCAAATAAGGAAGAAAAATTTCACACTTTGCCCGTTATTGTGGTAGCGGACAAAATTTAACGCACTATAACCAAAACTAATTTATTAAAGATATGAAACTAATACGAAAAAGCGTGTTCAAAGAGACCGCTGACTCTAATTTATATATGACGAGCTTTCTCCGGGCGTATTCATTTAAGAATCTTAAAACATTAATCAATACGATAAATGTTAATGAAATTAGGCAAACCAATACCATCGGTAATTTAATGATTAGCACAGCAATCAAGATGGCAAAGTTTACAAAATATTGGAGGATGTGTTAATATATTTGATTGCAGCAGCCCAAACACAGGCTAAAAATGAAATTCACGTGAGAGCTTGACAGTGAGATCAGTGATAGATGAACCGCATAGAATAAAAATAGTTACTTGGCGGGTTTTTTTAAGAAAGCTTTTTAAGGGGAAAATGCAACCTTTGTAATTATTGATTTGTCTACAGTGTTGGACAAACGATGCCGAAAAATTGTAGACAATGGACGAATTTTAAAAAAAATTATATCTTTTAATAACAACCATCTAATACCGAAGGTAAATGAAATTTTTCAGGAATTGTGTTGAAAATGTAATCGCAAAAATTGGGACTTAAAACGAAAAAAAATTAGCTAACGTAGAAAAATTAGAAAAATAAACTTGATTTTTGGCTAGTAACCAAGCCTTTACATCACTAAGTAAATGATAGGAAAAAAGGAAGTTGCATGTGCAACGGAAATAACTTTCAGGCAGTAGATATTTTACAGTTGCTACTTGCTAACTTCAAATTCCAATTGCTTTCAGCTTCATGCTTAAGCGTTTACTGTTTTCGGATTCACGTTTGTTTTGTAAAGCCCCATTCCCAATCCTCCGTATCTTGAACTTTGCTGTATTTTGTAAACTTGTACCAATTAAAGAAGACTCTGGTAAAGGTCACTACAAAAGTTAGTTGCTCGAAAATTTGTGACAGTAAGCGGAGTGTGACTGTAAATGGATTAATATTGCAGAGTTTTGCGAATTCGGTGGAGTGGCAATAAGTGGAGTGACTACAAGCGGAATTGATGGTATAAAAA